CGGGGTAAATCGCTCCTGAGCGTTCCGGAGCGCTCTCAGAGCGTTCCGGAGCGCTCTCAGAGCGTTCCGGAACGCTCTGGAGCGGCCGCGGCGCCCAATACATCCTCCAAACCCGCCGATTCTCAGAGATTTCGAGTTATCCCGATCCAAGTTTGTTCCGATCTTCGCGTCGTTTTACCTCGTCCCCAGCAGCCTAAAATCCGGCGGCGGCCACCGCTTCATGAAGACGACCGCGCCCTGGTGCGTCCGGTCGGCGTTCCGGAAGACCAGCAGCGCCATGGTCCTCGGCATGCAGGCCTGCGCCGCCGCTGGAGGTTGCCGTTGAGGCCACGGGATCGAGGCCAGGGATTAGTTGATGCAAAAAGCGCTGGGGGCGTTTTTTTGAATTCGTTTTCTGCTCGGATTTCGGCCAACCACACCGCCAAACATCGGCAACCCCAATCAGAAAAAAAACAACGGGAATACAAAACGGGACCGGACCGAAAACATCGCGAACGAGAATCCCAAAACGAAGAAAAAACGGATCCCCCAAACGAAACAAAACAATTCCGCTGGAACAGAAACCAAAACACCCCAGCGTTTTAAACATCATCTACGGGCCAGGGTGAGGGCAGTCCTGTTCTCGGTGGTGTTCTAAACTTCCCGGAGTCTTTCGAAGGCCTTCAAGAGTGTCCGGAGATTTGGATTCTTCCAGAGACACCTAGAGGGTGGGGAGGGTGAGAAAGAGTGGGGAGGGGATGCTTGCGGTCTCAGAAGTGGAGAGGCAGGGGGGAGCAGGGGATGTGGGGGGGAGGAGTTCCGGAGGCGGGGTGCCCCGCGCAGGGGGCGGGGGGGGCGCGAAGCTGGCCCAGCTCTCGGGCTCGCGCGGCGGTCGCGCGAGCCGAGGTCACGTCGTGATTCCGCCAAGGTGGGCGACTGCGTGAGGCTTGCCCACCAAGCGTGCCCGAGGCCTGCCCGCGCATGCCGCGCGCAGCTGGGCTGCGCGGCACTTCGCGGCCGCCCCGCGAGGAGGGGCGACCTTGCCAAGATGCTGCGCTTGGCCGCGGCGGGGACGAGCAGGTTGCGAGGCGGCGGAAGGGCCAGGGGAGGCCAAGCCTGACCAAGGACGCAAGCGCCGGCGCTGCCCAGGCGCGCGAAAACACGATGCTGGCGACGGGCCAGCAGGAGGCGCGAGGGCGAGGAGGATGAAGATGCCGAGGAAGCGCCGACCAGGCGCGAGGAACAGGGCAAGGCCGCCTTCGGGAAGACTCCCAACTGGTCGGCCGAGGTGCCTGGCGGATATTCGAGGAGCTAGACGCGGACACGTACGCGCCCCACAAGTGCAATGCTGCTGCTGGCGCGCAAACGAGCCCAGCCAACGATTCACCCCCAAGCTGGGAGGGTTCGTTCCTGGAGGCGCGCAGCGGATCCACATAATATGTTAGCCCCTGGCTTAGATGATTCCGCTCACATGTAGGTTGATGTACACGCGGCGCGATGAGTTTCCCGCAGGCTCCGTGCTGATATACGCCCATCGGCGGCACCTACTGGAGAAACGTTTAGGCCAGTCCGCTCTTCCGCAATGATGAGGAGCCGAACAAAGAAGACGAGGCAGGACTCAGACGATGAGGAGATGCGGGAGAGGACTGAGGAGAGTAAGTAAGACGTCCAGGACACAGATTCAGAGACTTCCACAGCTCAGAGACTGATAGGCCGAGGCCAAACGGCTGCTCGACTACGGCGAGGACAGCCTGAAGATGACGGATCGCGTTGTGAAGTTCATGGTCGTAACCAACGCGGCCACAATATTAGCTGGGAATCGCAAGCGACAGTGAAGCTCTCAACGTCCTCTCTGACGCTCGTGATCTGCCTGTAACGGCACCGAACCAGGCAGTTCGCGGGGTCGCGATCGCACCAGCAGCCAGGTGGCGGTGAACGCCGACTACCACGACAGCGACCTTAGCACACTGAAGCTTAATGATGTGGCTGTAGGTTTCGCGCTTGGCGTGGAAGCGAACTGCCGCTGCATTGACGAGCAGTGTGGCGCCCTGTGCGAGGGGGCTCCAGCGAATGGCCAAGTGAATGCAATTCGAGACCCTGTCCATCTTCGGCCCTATTCGAGGCAGACGTGGAACACGATTGCTGGCTCTCAGAGCACCAGAAGCGCAGGTGCCTGGGCAATCTGCCAACATCAAGAGTGTCGCCATCCAGCGCGACCGATGCAAAGCCTTCTCCTTCTTCCTGGGGGACAGGGAAGGGAAGGGAACCGCCTCCTCTTTCTTCCTGAGGGAAAGTCGGGGAAGGATTGTCCCCCTTCTTCTCCCCCTCCGCCTCCTGAGGGAAAGGGCAGGGAATGGGTGTCCTCCTCCAGACGACTGGGGCAGCTGCGCTACGGACGCCGCGAAGCTCAACGACGCTCAACTCCTCTCCACGCGCTTCGAACTCGGGCCCGGCCGGCATGCGCAGCATGCACGAGTTTTCAGCGAGTTTGCGCGCGCGGGGGCCTGGGGGGGGGGACTCGATGCGGGGAGAGCCTGCGCGACGGCCGGTGTGCAGCGAGCCGCACTTTCGCATGGCGAGCGTGACCAATCTGCTGAATTTGGCGATGCTCGTCACGAGCATGGGGGCGAGCGAGGGGGGGGAAATGAGAAGGAGAAGGCCTTCTCAGAAGGCGGCGGGACTCCTCAGAAGCCCTCGCGCCTTCTGAGAAGGTATTTCTGTCTTCGGGGAAAGCTTCGAAAACTTCTCAGAAGGCCGGGTGACTTACGAGACTTCTGAGAAGGCTCGCCCCTTCTCACTTCCCCCCATCGCTCGCCGCCGATCATGGAGGCACTGATCCAGTCGGCACGCTTCCCAGAGCCGATCATTCTCCTGCACACACCCTTGGATGCTCGCCCCCCAACGTGCCCGCCGACGTCAGCCACAACAAATCCGACCAAGGCGAGCGTGCGAAGGAGAGGGGAGCAAGAGTCGGGAGCGGCCAAGAGGGGGGCGTCCAAGAAGGGTGTGTGCAAATCATGGCCCGAGGCATGTGCGCAGCCCAGCGGTGGGCCAGGGAACGTAATGAAACAAGAAGAGGCGCCATGACATCTAGGGAAATATCATGGCCCACGCCATGATATCCACCCCCACTAGTCATCACCCCACTCTTGGCCGCCCCCGAAAGAGGCACGGAGGTGCACGACAAGATAAGCTGCAGGCAGGCCACACCAGAGACGCCGACGAGGACGAGGACAATGGCGCAGTGTGCCACGAGGGCATGACGTCCCACAGGGCGTACGTCGAGGTTGATGCGCACGAAGACCTCTGGGACGTTCAGATTCAGGCTGCGCCGCAAACCAACACCGTCACAAGCTTGGGAATGATCTTGGCCTCCTGGCGAAATTCAAAACGACAGGAGCCGCTCTGCAATGACCAATTGCGAGCTCTGGGGGTGAGCTCCGCCTGTCCGTTGGAGACTTCAAGATGTAATTATGCCGATTGACTCGTTAAACATTGGTCCGAGTGACTCCTTAAGCATTGGCGCGCAGAGCCGTCGGCAGTGGCCGTGCGCCGAACTCGCCCAGCGCCTTCCCGGCGACGGGGAACATGATCGGCAGGCGCCGTTCTGCAATGATGACGGCATTGGCCCCGGGCAGTGGCATTGCCGACTCCGCCGCGGTGCGCCGCGACAGCAGGTGCATCGATGAGGACAACCTGGAGCGCAGCAGCCTGGAGCACGACGATGCTTCAATCAACCTCGAGGCAGCCTCGACAGTCGTGTAGGAAAACCTCCGACGGGCGCAGGGCGAGATGCTACTCCGCTTCTTCCTCCTCCGCCTTCCTTCCTCCTCCTCCTCCTCCTCCTCCTCCTCCTCCTCCTCCTCCTCCTCCTCCTCCTCCTCCTCCGTCTCTTCCTCCTCCTCCTCCTCCTCCTTCGTCCTCCTCCACCTCCTCCACCTCCTCCTCCTCCGTCCTCCTGATCGCGTGGTTACCACGAAGGCGGGATGACGACAAGGGGGTTAAGCAAGGTTTTAACGGCCCCAGACGAGCCAAGCTTCTCTAAGAGTGGACATCAGACGGCTTGATGGGCTTGAGTGTTGCTGCTGCTCCGTCCTCCTTTTCCTCCCTGCGCCGCCGCTGTCTCGACGCTTCCTTGCAGCGCGCGGCATCCCCGCATACAGTCAGGCTTCGATCAGAAGGAACGACCGACTGGGGACGGCGCTCATCTTTGAGCCCCAGCAGCGCCTCGGGGCACGAGTAGGCCAGAGGAACAACCATTGAAGGACCCGAGGGACAGGGGGTCACTTTCCGAATCCGAGCTGCCCCTAATTTCACCGTCCTGGCTGCACCCGGAGAACAGCAGGGCCTCTTGCGGCGTGGCCGAGGCCCAGGGCGCGCGCCGCTGCTCCTGAACGTGCGCGGGGTGCTCAGCCTGGACCCGACGGTGGTCCTCGGCGCGAGGGGGCCCAGAACGTGAGCCATCAGCCAGTGCAACTCCACCTGCTGCTGGCCTCCACTATGGACAGTCATAGCCATTGAGAAGCATGCGGTTACTCCCCACTCGCAACACCTCACCACTTCCCCTGGCAAGACCTCGTCGGCCGAAGTCCTCCCCCCTCGGGTAACCGCAGCGATCAATTCAAGACCCCCAGTCCAGACGATGAACCCACGACGACCGCCTTCGTCGCCGCCATGGCCGCGGCCGTTACGCGCGGCGGGGTCTGGCGGCCACGAAGCTCACGACGACGAGGACGACGCCGACGACGCTGTCGTCCGCTGTCGTCGTCGACTAAAACAGGGCTAGGATCGGATAAATCGCTCCAGAGCGTTCCGGAGCGCTCTCAGAGCGTTCCGGAACGCTCTGGAGCGGCCGCGGCGCCCAATACATCCTCCAAACCCGCCGATTCTCAGAGATTTCGAGTTATCCCGATCCGAGTTTGTCCCGATCTTCGCGTCGTTTCATCGAAGATGTCGTCATCGTCGACGACACCGCCGACGACGACGGCGTTCGGCCCGGCTCGCCGAGCGGCGCGCCGCGCCCGGCGCCGCGCGGCGGCCGCGCCCGCGGCCGCGCCCGGCGAGGCGCCCAGCGAGGCGGACGCTCGCCGATGGCCGGGGCCTGCCGCGCGTGGGGCCCCCCGCGCGGTGCTCCCTCGGGCTCTCCTCCCCTCCCCGCCTCCGCCCTGCCTCCCCCCCCCTCCCCTCCTCCTCGGCCCTGCTCCTCCTCCTCCTCCTCCTCCTCCTCCTCCTTCTCCTCGCTCCCTCCTCCCTCCCCCTCCTCCCCCTCCGCCCTCCTCCCCCTCCGCCCTCCTCCTCCTCCTCCCGCACCCTCGTGCGTTCTTCTTCTCCTCCCTCCTCTTCCTCCTCCTCCTCCTCCTCCGCCTCCCTCCTCCTCCTCCTCCTCCTCCTCCTCCTCCTCCTCCTCCTCCTCCACGCCATCCGTCATCCTCCTCCCGCCATCCTTCATCACCAAGATGCCCCGAAAGGCCCCCAGGAAGCTCCCGAGAGACATCCGAAGACACCCCGAAAAGCATCGACAGGGCCTCTGGCCTTTCTGGTCGCCCCCCGCCTCCTCGATACTGTCCTCCTCCTCCTCCTCCTCCTCCTCTTCCTCCTCTCCTCCCTCCCCTCCTCCTCCCTCCTCCCTCCTCCCTCCCCCTCCGCCCGTCATTATCATGCCATTTTCTGCTTTCTCTCCTCCTTAATATCGAAGGTTGTCTTCCCAGTGGGGCACTTCCCGCATGGGAAATGAACAAATATTGTAGGGAACTTCGAGCAGGGAACGTGAAAGGAGGGCTGATTGCCACATCGTTGATACGTCTAGGGTTTACACTGGTCCTCCTCCTCCTTCTCCTCCTCCTCCTCCTCCTCCTCCTCCTCCTCCTCCTCCTCCCTCATCCTGTGCATCCTCTCTCCTCCTCCCTCCTACTGAGAAACTGGTGTCTGAAGGCATCGAACACATCCCAGCCGTAAGGAGTGCAGGGTCGTACCCGCAATCAGCTCACACAGGCCCTCACTTGACCCTTTTTCTGGGGGCGGGGGGAGTAGGGAGAGCCCAGGTACACGATCCGCCTACCGTAACCATACCTTCATGTGCCGCATGTTCAGAAAGCGTGACCTTGAAAAACGCCAGATCCAAACGAAGAGACAAGATCCGTCGGACCCATGCTTAAAAAGTGCAGCAGGCCAAACTGGAGATCATGAAGTACTTGCTAGCAGAGCCCCATTACACTTCGCAGACACTGGAAGAGACCGTCGCACGTTCAAAAAAAAGAGTTTCCCGCCCGTGGGTCACCACATGTGCAAATGCCATCCGTTTGTACATGGGGTTCGCGCAGATTGAAAGCACCACTTGCGGCAGAGGAGAGTGTGGACGACATTGTGGAAACCAGTGCGTGCACACCCCACGTCGACGACCTTATTGTTTGCGAGCGTGCAACTGACGTCATGCACGAGACGCAAACCACTGATTTTAAAAGCATGCCAAAGAAAACGATGTCATGACCCAGTTGCAATGTTTTGTCGGCCAGACTTGCGATCTGCAAATCAAGACATAGTGGTTCGAAAGACAGCTGTGGCAGTATACGTAGTAGTATAAGTACAACGCAGTGGACGAAATGGTTTTGCGTGGCAAAATGAAGTTTGCCAGACTAAGACGTGGAGAAATTCTGCGATGCCTCAACACACCATGCGTAAGCGAAGTGCGCAACAAACTGACGAACTGGATCGAGTTGGGGGGTAGTGCGTTCCCACGATGGAGCTTACTGGACGGAGATAGAATAAGACGAAGGAGCATACAAATAATACAGCTTGCCTACAGCGAAGGACGAGCAGACACATGGTAAAATTGACAATGGAGCTCCAATACCTGAGGATTTAGAAGATGCCGTCCTCAAATTCGCCAGCCAACATTGCAGCGCAGGTCAAGAGGCGGATCCGATTGAAGAGTTCACTGCCTTGGCAAGTCGCAAAGAAAACTGGACGATGGACAGCATCAACATTGTGCTGCGTAGAATATGGTACATTGTTGAGCTTCGATGAAGATGAGATTGCATTCGAATGGCCAAACAATGAAGCACAACATAATTGGCATGCCTGTTGCGGAGAAGGAAAAAGGTCCAACGAAACAGAGAAGCATTTGTGCCCGGACAGAATACCTGAGCGACACAACCCGAAAGGAGGTGCCCAAGGTGCCTGCATGAATTCACATGCAGTCGGACCTCGCAACACCAACGGCGGCACGGACCGCCCCCGGCATTATCCGCGCCGCCGTTGCGAGGTGCCTCGAGATGCCACCCCGAGACACGGCCACCGGCACCACCCCCACTTAGCCGCCGGCCTGAAGCAGCGGAGCCCCCCCTGCCCAAGGACTTAAGTTCCCGCGCCCCCCACGTCGGGGGACCCCTTCGAGTAACCCCATCGGGCCTCAGGGGTGGTACGGCGGGCCCGCACCGACTGTGGCTGGCCAACCACAAGGTAAGAGTCTCTCCCACAGCCCCGTCGAGCTGTGGTGACGATCGGGCTGCCAACCCGCCTGTTTTCCTGGGGCGCCACGAGGGCACCCAGCGGCACAGGTGCCAACGAAACAGAGAAGCCACCCAGCGGCACGCATTAGGCCCGTCGGATTCGGAGGAGGAGGGGGGTAGTGGTGGGGGCGGTGGAGGAGCTCTCTCGTCAAGTTGGCGTTTGGCCAAACATTTGTGATCCTCCTGTGGGAAGCGCGCGCGGCGTGGAGCACAACCACAGCGCCGACCTCCCTGCTACGGTACACTAGCAAACGTTTCTGAGCAGGGTGCCCCTGCTAGCGGGGAACCCGTCCACCTGGAACAGACCAGGTAACGGGGCACGCCAGGAATGTCCCCAGGACTGGCAGCAGTTCAGGGGGCCTGCTTCCGACAAAACTACCCAGGGGCCACCGCAGTGTTCTAAACTCTCTGCAGTTCGAGGCACAGACCCCCAACGGCCTTATCCTTATCCGATCCTCCGCCTCCTCCTCCTCCTCCTCCTCCTCCTCCTCCTCCTCCTCCTCATCCATTCGTTTTCCGCCTCCCCGTCATTATCCTCAGTCTCCCCCTGCTCCCTCGTAGCCGCCCACAGGCCTCCTTGGACGCCTCACAACTTGGGCTGGAGATGAGGTGCTCGGATGGTTGCTCCGCCGTCGCCGATGCATCGGCGATACATCGGCGACGGCGGCATGGAGAGGAAGAGGCTCCAAATGGCGCCGCATCGCCGATGCATCGGCGATGCGGCGCGACCCTCCGGCCCCACCTGCTCTGGCCCCACGCAGTGGGCCTCGACGCCAGCGGCGCGAGCGGAAGCACCGAGGTCACCCTTTGCCGCGATCTCGGCGCCCGGGGGGGCCGCGCGACACCACGACGAAAACGGCCCGGGACAAGCCGATGGGCGAGCTCTGGGGCCCAAGCTGTGACAAAAGGCACAGGCTGTGCCCTCCTCCTCCACCTCCGTGTCTTCGTCATCGTTCTGCTCCTCCTTCTCTTCGGCGTTCTCCTCGTGGATTTTTCCTCCGTGCTCTGCTGCTGCTCCTCCTCCGCCTCGTCCTCCGTCCCGTCGTCCTCGTGGTCCTCCTCCTCCTCCTCGTGCTCCTCCCCCTCCGCCTCTTCTTGATGTTTGTTACCCCTTCTTGATACTATTCTACCTCCTCCTCCTCCTCCTCCTGCTCCCCCTCCTCCGCCTCTTCTTGACATTACTATCATACTCCCTGCTGCTGTAGAGTCTGGAAGGCTGCGCACAAGGATCGACAACACATGGAGAGGCCGGGGGGGATAGCGACGGCAGCGCAGTGGAGAATCAAGGGGAGCCCCCCTCATCTCACTTAGTTGTCATTGGCGCTGCATGTAGCTGCCCAGGGATTTGCGATTCTACCTCGATTGAATGTGTGATTGTGGAAAAACTTCTATAGGGTAGGCTGAAACTGACGCACTCACTTGGGACGAAACCTCCACTGCGGAAGAAAACAAATTCTGAGCCCTCTTATGGAGCTATCGCTTCCACCGTGAAGGACAACAACATTTCGGGCATATGGCACGTGTATCGCAGCCCTGGTGAACGCAACATACTGTCATGGTACTCAATCTCGATTACCCAGACGGATACGGGACTCGACCCTGCGCCACTGTAGCGAGCTGCATGCACTGCTATGTTGACATATTAAACAGCTGCTGCTGCTAATAGCTAAGCTAGTGTTTTGGACCAGCTGCGGCCCTCATTAATTTTCTGGGCTGCAGAACTATCAGCTACTATATCCTTCCCCCCCCCTGCGCCACCTCACTAGCTCGCGCCAGGGACGGATGGACTCCAGCCTGTCGCGACGTCCGCAATACTTTTCAACTGCTCGTAAGCCATCAGCGACAATCATGCATGGCATGGCGACTCACTGCCTTCCTCACCCCATCCCCCCCCCTTCCTCCTCCTCCTCCTCCTCCTCTTCCTCCTCCTGCTCCTCCTCCTCCTCCTCCTCCTCCTCCTGCTCCTCCTCCTCCTCCTCCTCCTCCTCCTTCCCGCCCGCCCCGCCACTCCGGAGGGCAAGGAGGGCCAGGGAGGAGGGCAAGGGAGGGCCAGAGGGGGTTCGTGGAGGAGGGCAGGGGGGCTGGAAACTCGGAGAAAAGAGGGGGGGGGGGCTGGGGCGGAGGGGAGGTGAGAGGAGGCAAGGAGGGGACGGGCCCCCACCTGTCCACTACCCCCTGCGCCTTCGGCGGCTGGCGCCCCCGCGGCGCCCGGCGGCGGCGAGGCCGCGCCGGGGAGCTTTTGCGCGGCGGCATCCGCCTCGCGCCGGGCTGGGTGGGTGGCTGGCTGGCCAGGGAACTGCCCCACCCCCTCGCGCGCCCCTTTCCTCAATCTTCCCTCCTCCCTCAAGCTCCCCCTCCCATCCTCCCTCTGCCCTCCTCTCCCCTCCTCCTCCTCCTCCTCCCTCTCCTCTGGTTCCTGTCGGCTCAAGTGTCGGTCTCCTCCTCCTCCTCCTCCTCCTCCTCCTCCTCCTCCTCCTCTCCTCCTCCTCCTCCCTCCTCCTCCCTCCTCCTCCTCCTCCTCCTCCTCCTCCTCCTCCTCCTCCTCCTCCTCCTCCTCCTCCTCCTCCTCCTCCTCCTCCATTCCTTTTCCTTATGAAATCCTTCTCCCTGTCGCACCCCGAGGCCAATTCTCATGTCAGGCCGGGCGTTTCGCCTGAGACTTCCTCACCACTTATGACCCTGAACCTTGAACATTGGCAACAGCTTCTCAGATGGAGGGCGTGTCGTTTTCAAATTGTGGCTCTCGCCTTAGCGGCGCGCACATTCGTTTTGAACACGTGCAAGAGCGTCGCGAATTGAGGGCGGGTCGTTTTCAAAATGTGTCTCTCGCCTTAGCGGCGCGCGCATTCGTTTGAAACATGTGCAAGCGTTTCACGAATTGAGGGCGGTTCCTTTTCAAAATGTGGCTCTCGCCTTAGCGCTGCGTACATTCGTACCCAATCAGCGCTTGCACTGAACGGGTCCTCGCGGATGTTGAAGAATTTGGCGAAACTTTCCCGCCGATTTTGGTTGCTGGTTAGGTTCCCGGATTCCCGGTTCTGCGTTCCCGGGTTCCTGGTTCCGGGTTCCAAGTTCGGGCCCGATTTCGGAGGGCGGCGAGGTTCCCGAAACCCGGTGTCCTGGTCGATCTTCTTATCGATCGGTCTCACCATCGATCTCATTACCCACTTCTCTATCGATCTCACCATCGATCTCACAATCGATCTCACTATCGATCTCACAAGCGATCTCATTAGAGATCGCATGAGCGATCTCGCGATCGATCTCCCTATCGATCTCATTGAATCGATTTCACTCCCGGTTTCACGATCGACCTTACAATCGTCCTCACGATCGATTCCACTATCGATCTCATTATCAATCTCACAATCGATCTCAAGATCCATAGTATTATTTTTCAACTCATCCACTTATTGGGTTTTTCTCAGGTGCGATTTTGAAACTGTGCAAGGGCTTCACGGATCGAGGGCGGCTCCTTTTCAAAATGTGGCTCTCGCTTAGCGCCGCGCACATTCGTTTTCACATTTGCAAGGGTTTCACGAATTGCCATGATCAGCGTACCAGAAACGGTGTTTTGGAACGGCTCAGGACTATGAGGATGCAACAATTACATTGGTCTGCGGAATTGAAGTCATCAGCATCACCGCCATCATAATGAACACCAGAGTCATAATAATCGTCTTCATCCGCATCAGCATCATCACCACCATCACCACCACCATTAACATCATCATCATCATCATCATCATCATCACCAACATGATAATCAACATCCTCATCATCGCCATCAACATCATCATCATCATTACCGTCATCGTCATCATCATCATCATCACTATCACCACCACCATCATCATCATTATTACCATCATCATCACCCCTCCTCTTCCTCCTCCTTCTACTCCTCCTCATCCTCACAATCGTCATCACCATCATCATCAGCATCATCACCATCACCACCATCATCATCATCAGCAGCAGCATCATCATCATCATCATCATCATCATCATCAGCATCATCATTCTCATCGTAATCGTCGTCGTCGTCATCGTCATCGTCATCGCCAACAGCATCGTCATCATCAGCACCATCATAATCAGTACCATATTCTTCATCATCTTCGCCATCATCAGCATCATCATCATCAGCATCACCATCATAATCAGCACGATCATCATCATTGTCATCGTCATCATCATTATTATCATCATCGTCATCACCATCGCAATCACCACCATCACCATCACCATCACCATCATCATCTTCATCACCAGCATCATCATCATCATCTTCAGCATCGTCATCATCAGCAACATCATCATCACCATCATCATCATTACCATCACCACTACCATCACCGTCACCGTCACCATCACCATCACCATCACCATCACCATCATCAACATCATCATCATCATCATCATCATCATCATCATCATCATCATCATCATCATCATCATCATCATCATCATCATCATCATCATCATCATCATCGTCCCTTCTCATCTTCCCACGGCGCCTCCCTCCTCCTCCTCCTCCTCCTCCTCCTCCTCCTCCCCGTCCTCCTCCTGTCCCTCCCTCCCAACGCCTCCCACTGATAATCGGTGGCAGATTGAGGCTTTCGGGTTGGGTTGGGGTGGATTGGTGGGTGGTGAACAACAGGAGGCCGTTTCGGCCGACGCAGCTCTTCCTCGGACAGCGGGGCGGGCCTACAAAGAGCAACGGGCCAAGGACGAAACAGAAACGGGCAAGAGAGCGAGGAGCCGAGGAGCGAGAAGGGTAGGGGAGAGGGGGGCTGGAGGGACGACCACAGGAAGGGACAGACCTAAAGCAACAAACAACGGCATAACCATAAACGTTAGGAAGTCCGCGCGGACGTCTTGCCGGAGGCGCCGCCAGGGGGGCCTGGCGCATCGATCCACGAAATCCGCGCGGAGCTCCGAAAACTTCTGTTCCTGCTGTTGTTCGTGATTCGAAGGTCTTCCGCCTCCCTCCGTGCCCCAGTCCCGACGTGGGCGACCGCCACGCTGCCGCGTCCGCGCGGGGGCGAGGTGAAGAGGAGGAGGAGGAGCAGGAGGAGGAGGAGGAGGACGAGGACGCGGATGAGGACGAGGGCGAGGAGGACGAGGACCAGGAGGAGGACGACGCGGACGAGGACTCATGGAACCATCTGGAGGTATTCTTGCGGCTGCTGCTGCTGCCGGTGCTCGCGGGGAGTTTCGGGAGCCCTCATGGAACACTCGCTGCCGAGGGGCGGCTAGGCGGCCAGCGCGCCCTCGCCGCAACGCGGCGGAGCGCCGCGGCTGGGCCGAACGGGCTCGGGCGCGCGCCCTGCAGGTGTCGCGGCACGTGCCCCGCGGCGTGGATCATCACCGCGGACGTCGTGCCTCGCGGGTCGGCGAGGCCCTCTGCCGATCTGGTGCAGGTGGGGAAGCCAGCAGCGACCCACTGATGCCAAAAACCGCTCCAAGCATGGTTGGTGGACGCCTGGGTCCTGGCAGCACCTTTCGCAAAACGGAGCGATGCACCAAAGTCACCCCCGAGATGAATGGCCCACATGTTGGCAATGGGTGGGCCTTTGGCCCATTCCAACAGTAATGCGGGATGGCGATTAATAAAACAAATGGGAGAGAGCGATTCAAACAGTAGTTTTCTGCTATTTCTGCACAATCTTCTGACTGGAGGAGAACGATAAAAAACAACAATTTCCCAGCCCGCGGCCGGTTTTTCCTAATCGTCATCCCGGGCGCCGCCGCGTGAACACGACCCCGGGTCATTTATGAATCGTCATCCTCCAATACTTCGGGGGTACTAGAGTTTTTGACCATAAGATGAGAATTGCCTCGCTGGTCACGCGTGCCGCGGAGGACCGATGAGGATGCAAAGGTGCCTTGATGCGGATTCGCGAGCCTTTGTGGGCCCTCTGGGACGGCCAACCAGTGAACCGAGAGCGACCGCATTGGAGAAGGATGCCCAGGGTCTCACAGCATCAATGCAACAAGGAATACAATGAAACATCGCGTTGGCATGATAAGGACAGGGTCGATGGGGATGATGACACGGACGATCAAACGTGACCCAAGCGGAGTGGTTTACTGTGAATGGGTTCAAGTCGGAGTGTTTTCCGGCCCTATTTTAAATGGGACGGAGTAATTATCACCCTATATATATATATATATATATATCTTACAGGGTGAGAGCCCATCGGAGTCGAACCGCCGCCCGACCCAAAACATGTCGCTAAGATTCTACGGGGGGGCAGAGGGCGTCGAGAGCATGACGTCTTATGGTCAAAACTATAGTACCCCCCGTGTAGTGAAGCTGCCCCAGCTCGCAGCGGACAGGAGGCTCAGGGGGAAGCGCCTCGAGCATCGGGCGCACCTGCAGCTCGGGGGGCGCCCTGCTCGGCATCCTGGCGCTCGCGCCTCACGCTCCACGGATCTCCGGCCTCCTGCCGATGCGTCTCTGAAGCGAGCTCCCTCGGCTGCATTTGCTGGCTTTGGCACCGCCCAGAGAGGCAGAACAAAAACTTATAAACATAAACTTTCGACGGTCCGCCCGGATTTTCTGGATGTGCGCTGGACTCCCCTCCCTGGCGCGCGGAGCGCGCCAGGGGCGGCACCGGAGGCGCCGCCTGGGGGCCCCAGCGCAGATCCAGGAAATCAGCGCGGAGCGTCAAGAGTTTATGCTTATGCGCTTTTCCCTCCTCCGAGCCCAACCGACGGTCGCTCTGTGATCCTCTCGACTACCCAGCCCCACTGCGCTGGCGCCCCTCTCGCCACGATGACGAAGGTAAGGCCGCCAGCGGTCCCCACCCTTGAGCAGGGACCGACCGTCCCGGCATTCCTATAGGCCTACCAAGAAATCGTCTTGGAACCCCAGAATGTTCTCTTATAGCATAAAGCCGGTGTGTTTCAAACAGCACACCCCCAGCCATAGATGTTCTAAGAACATTCCGTGGAAACCACAAAGGGTTCTAAGAACATTCTTTGGTGGACCTATAGGCGAGCTAAGACGCTTCGCCACTGCTTGACACCCGCGGGCGCCCCCCGCACCTCCCGGGCCGCCGCCGGGGAGCCCCCGCACTGCGGCCATGGGCCATTGGGCCGCGGCCGTTCTGCCGCTGTACCTCGCGCCCCCGGCGAGTTCCAGTCGCGAGCTGCGTGCGGATGCGCACGCGTAGTAGAAGGAGGAGGAGGAGGAGGAGGAGGAGGAGCAGGAGGAGGATGAGGAGGCGGAGGAGGAGGAGCAGGATG